ATTTCAAATATTAACCATTTTTTATATGTCTCTTTAATATATTAAGTTGTTAATTATTGTATTTTATAGTACATTTTGAACCTAATTTTTTAATAATATCTGTTATTTGCCATGTCCCAATTTATGTGGCATTAATTGATAGATTTGTTGGAGTCGAGAGATTTATTTTGTTAATTATTGTAATTTATAGTTTCTTTTTCATCAATTTCAAACAATATATGTTGTTAATTGATAGAATACTTTTAATGTAATTTTTTTTAAAAAATATGTGTGACTGTCCATGTCCCAATTTATGTGGCACATGTAAAGTTTTTACAACTAACCAAAATTTTAATACATTTAAAAAAATATTTTTAAGTCGTTAAATTTTAAGTAATTTAAATTGTTGTATTATTTATTACAATTTATAATGCTTTTAAAGTAGTTTAAATATTGTACTATTTATTATGATTTATAACACTTTTTAAAAAATTTTATGTCATATTATGGAATTTGAGAAGTTATTGAAATTTTTATATGATTTTAAAAATATTTTAAATTGTTAGCTATTGTGATTTGTAGCATTTTTTTTTAACATAATTTTGAAAGTAATATTTATTACTCTATTTGTTCTAATTTATATGGCAGATGCAGAATTTCAAATATTAACCCCTTTTTATGTCTCTTTAATATATTAAGTTGTTAATTATTGTATTTTTTAGTACATTTTGAAGCTATTTTTTTAATACTATATGTTATTTGCCATGTCCCAATTTATGTGGCATTAATTGATAGATTTGTTGGAGTCGAGAGATTTATTTTGTTAATTATTGTAATTTATAGTTTCTTTTTCGTCAATTTCAAACAATATATGTTGTTAATTGATAGATTTTTTGGAGTGGACTATTTTTTTATTAATTATTGTAATTTATTGTTTCTTTTTCGTCAATTTCAAACAATATATGTTTATTATATAATCTATTTTATGTGGTACCAATAGAATTTAGAGAGTCAATTAAATTTTTTGTATAAGTTTTAAATAATTAATCTGTTAATTATTGTAATGTATAGTATTACTTATAGTATTTTTAAATATATTTAAATATTATATGTTAGGTTTTTTATCCTAATTTATATGGCATTGATAGAATTTAAAGTGTCAAATAATTGTTAATTATTGTAATAGATAATATGGAGTATTTAAGTCATTTATAGTATATTATAATTAATATATAATATGTAGTATTTAAGTGTTATATTATGGAATTTGAGAAGTTATTGAAAATTTTATATGATTTTAAAAATATTTTAAATTCATAACCATATATTTCAATGTACAAGATTTTGATAAAATAAAATCTTTAAAGTTAAATTATAATGTTTTTGAAATTTAAATTATTAAAACATATATAATGATTTTATAGAAAAAATAATATCATATAAAATTAAATGAAAAGGATAATAAATTCAACTTTTATCATGATAAGGTTGAAAAATATTATTTAAGTGGAAGGAGGTGGGGCCCACTTATATATTTTATATAGTAAGTATTGGACATTTGTAATGATTTAATTGGAACAATGGTAGTAAATTCTAGACTCTTCTAATATATAGTAAAATATATATAATATAGTAATAAAGTTGGATATGTAAATGATGATGTGACATTTCTTAGAAGCTAAGATTACTATTTATGTAATTTCTCCAATTTTTGAGTTCTTTTGTCATACAAAATACAATATGTTTTATTATAATTACATTCAATATAGTAAACAATATGTTCTAGGAATTAAAACAAAATTATCATTTCAGAAAAAAAATGTTAAATTATAATTTTATTATGATTAAGGATAGATAAAGATATTATTTGAATATCCCATAACCACATTCAATACATTAGAAATTAATTGGATATAACTGTAAATGGAAAATGAATTACCATTTAAGGAAAATAAATGTTTGCAATACCATAATAATTAAGGAGAGAGTAAGATATTATTTTAAGATCCTACTTCGGAACTTTTAATGTACTACTCAATTAAAAAGAAAATGCATTTAATAACATTAAAAAGTTATTAGTTTATATTTTTTTCTCATTGTACTAATTCAATTGAATCAAACTTAATTTTAAAGATAAAATAACAGCTTCATTTTAATTGTTATGAATATATTTAAAAAAATTATCGTGAAAAGGCTTTTGTTGCACCCTATTTTAATTTTCATATACTGTTATTATTTTTTCTGTCATTTTTCAATGATTTTTTATTTCGATTTAAAATTTAATGTTTATTCTTAAAACTCTAATGGTACAAATTAAGGTGGAGTAGAATATAATAAATGATGATTCTTCTACTAAATAAGAAGATATAATGAAATTGAAAGGGTGAAACTTTTTTTTTTAAATGGATAGGAAATTCTCTTAAGGTATCATTACGTCATTATTCAATATATTTTGAATATAAATTTCATTTGCTGATGCATTTGTTTAGTACTCCTTCTGTCCCTAATTATTTGTTAACTTTTCTTTTTATAGTTGTCTCTAATTACTTGTCCATTTTGACAAATCAAGAAAGAACAATTTTTTTTACCTATTATACCTTCAATTAAATGACTAATTACTTTGAAAATTGCAGAACTTTTCATTTACTTCATAATTAATAGGGGTAAAATGATAAACTCACTATGTCATTAATTAATTTCTTAATAAATGTGTCAATTTAAAAGTGAACAAGTAATTAGGGACAGAGGGAGTATTACAGTGTTATTTGACATTATGAGATATTTCTTAGACATTTAAGGAGAATGGTACACCGGAATATATATTATATATTAAAGGATCAACTTCATGCAATGGAAGAATTTGTTATTAGCAAATATATTTGAACTTATTTGATAAAAAATATATTCTTCCTCATTTAAAAAATATAGACGTAAAATTTGTGAAGCTTATTTTTTTCACAATCTTTATATTATTAAAACAAATAAAAATATTACGATTAAACAACAGAGTAAATATAAAATTAATCAAAAATATTTAATTTAAATGATCGCGTGAAGTGCGCCCAAGTTCTCTAATTTAAAACAAAAAAGTAAAATTTAAATGGGTCTACTATAGAATTTCTAGAAATCGAACTTCAAAAATTATGTTAAAAATGGGAAATAAAAAGTGAAATAAATTTAATTGAGAGTTATCCTCCGTCTGTCCCATTTTATGTGACACTTTTTATTTCTCGAGAATCAAATAGTTTAAGTTTGACCATAAATTTGCGTATGATATCTTCAATTTTTTTAAAAAAATTGGAAAAATTAGATAAATAGTAATCTTAGCTTCTAAGAAATGTGACATCATTATTTACATATCCAACTTTTTTATATATATAAAAGAGTAAAAAAAGAAAAAATAAGTGATTTAAGAAAATTATATAAATAACATTAATGATGAGATGAAGATTAAGAAAAACCGTCAAATAAATTAGTATACGCACAAATTAATATAAGGAAGACAAAAGAATTTTTGAAAATATATTTGTGGAAGCTCTTTCTAACAATTGCATATATATATATATATTTAATTTTTAAAATATGATTCCCTCCGTTTCGATTTTAAAAAGATAATAATCTTTAAATTTTAATATTTTTTGTATAGCATATTTAAGATCACAAAATTAAAAAAGATTTTAATATATTTGATATATACCACAAAATTTAAATGTACATATAAATTTTAATTTTAATTGATTTCCACCAAATATTATAGTTGATATATAATTAGTAAGAGCTAAATGTAATTATAATTTATTTACTTTCATGTAAAAGAGATGTATCATTTCTGAACATATCCACTGGCTCAAGAGAAGAGTGAGACTCTAATTAATGGGGAGAGCGATTTTAAAAATTTAAATTTACAGAAAGAATAAATTAATTTGGAATTTCTTATGCAAATTATGTGGGTTATTAATATTTTGTATTGGTTGAGAGAGAGATTTTTTAAGTTCCTAATTATTGTAATTTATAGTTATTAGTTTGTTGTGATTTATAGTACTTTTTGCTCATCATTTTTAAATAATATATGTTATTCATGTTCTAATTCACGTGAAAAATTATAAATATTTTCAGTTGTTAATTTATTGTGAATTCTAGGACTTTTGACGCCATTTTCAAATAATATAAGATACTGCTTTTATTTTAATTAGCCAAGCAAATTTCCATATATGATTTAAAAATATTTTCAGTTGCTAATTATTGTAATTTATAGTATTTCTTATGTAATTTTTAATAATACATTTTATTGTATTTATTTAAATTCATGCGACAATGATAGAATTTTAAGAATCAATAATTTTTTTTTTAGAAAATCTAATTTCTTTCTTCTATATTTTGTAGCTAAAATATAATAAATGAATTATTAAATATCAAAATGTTAAATTTTCAAGGAAGAAATAAAGTGGGAAAAAATAAAAAAGAAACTGTGAGGAACAAATAAAAGAAGGAAATGAGAATTGTTAATGGGCAATTGGATAACAAAAATTAAAGAAAAATAGAAAAATGTGAAATAGGCAGAATGCCAAAGAAAAGGCTGCATACACGTGGGGTCCAAAGTGAAGGTACAATTTATGTTACTTTTGGTACAATTTCGTGTTGCTTTGTTTGTCCTTTTGGTACAACTTGAACTGCTTTTGGTATCACATTTTAAAGCTGTGTTAGTCCCAACCCAATAGTACAACTTGAACAGCTTTTGGTATCACTTCTTAAAGCTGTGTTGGTCCTTTCCAAGTCTCACTTCTAAATAAGAGTAATGTGTTAGTCCCAACCCAATAATACAACTTGAACAGCTTTTGGTATCACTTCTTAAAGCTGTGTTGGTCCTTTCCAAGTCTCACTTCTAAATAAGAGTAAAGTAATATGTTCTTGAATCACGTCAATAAATTCAACGAAACAATATTATCTTAAGCGAAATTTTATGCGGGGATTAATTATTCCAATACATCAAACTAAACAACCCCAATGATCAGAACAAAATTCACAAATACCCGGAAACGGCGTCGTAATGATGAGCTGAGTACGTAGGGTTGGCGTGAGCTCTACTGTATTGGCAATTTCACCTGAAAGTCCCCATTTCCAAACCCTAACCTCCGTTTCTGTGCGAAGTAGAAGCAGCGAGAAAGAGAAAAATGGCAATTTCAGGAGATTTAAGGGTCTCCGCTACATTGGTTCCATACCCAAAGAATCCACTTCGGACGTCTTTACCTCCTTCAAAGGTTTGGCTTTTCATAGTTTAACAAATTCATGTTTTTTTAAGTGAATTGTTTGTTGGGTATTTGTCAAGTTGTTAACTTTATGGGAATGTTATCTTCTTCCCATCATTTTGCCAAATCTAAGAGATTGTGTGTACTTTAATTTTTGAGGAAATTTCTATAGCTTTTTTGGTACCTTTTTGTGAAATTTGGTGATATGGGTCTACTTTAGTTAACTAGTAGTTGTGAATGAAGTGGGTTGAGCATTGAAGTTTCAGGTTCAAATCCTAGCAAAAATGAAAAAACTAAGTGCTAGGTGGGAGGTGTCTATGTACTCTTTTATAGTGAAAGATTCGTTCTTTTCTCCTTGGTTTTGAATGAAAAGTGATTGAGAAACTTTCAGAATTGGAGGGCTTAAGTGCTAGGTGTCTATGTTTTTTCTAGATGAGTAAGTGCTTGGTAACTATGTGAGTTAAGCTAAGCTGAGAAGAGTAGCTAGAGCTAGTATGGTTGATGCAGTATGGAATTAGGTGACGAGCATCATCTGAGTAATGTCTAGCTAATTATTCAGGGCTCTATTTAATGCGTTTGGAACTTTGGGACTTGTTAGGTAAAGGTTTTGCTTACTAGTTCTCTTTTGGCATATGTGAACATGAGTTGATCAACAGTGAAGGCAGGGATCATGAGTCCCACTGCCTTTGCTTGAGGTCTATATGTACACACACACGTTGAAACTTTTTTAGAAGTATATTTATACTCAATTGAGCATTTTGTTACAAAAATAAAGTAGTGAGGTTAGAGGTACTCCACACCCCTGGCTTATGATTCTGGACCTGCTTTTGTGACAGAAGCTTGGGTAATGGTCCCGTGTTGTTGGTGTGTGTGTATTAGGAAAGTTCCTGTATGGTTATTGATGACTAAATTAATTTAGTTTTTTTTTCCGTTTTAAATAAGAGTTGATGGACATTATCTTAATCACCACTTTTCTTCTGGTTTACTTCATTTATCATGTGAAGAAAATGAACCTAGGGCCTATGCGACCTCAAAAGCTAGCTATGAGATGAGGATTGTGCTAGACTGTATACAGAGATAACCATACCATTCCCTCAAATATGGGACGCCCCCCCCCCCCCCCCCCCCCACACACACACACACACACACACCCCACCCACCCAGACCGAGCTGGACATTTGGTGTGTAGACAACATAACATGGGCATCCATTGGGTAAACCAAGAACAGGGATGAGTTTGGTTGTGATATCATGTAAAAAAAATGAACCTTGGGCTTAATTCAACATGAAAAGGCAACTCATGAGGTAAGGATTGTCCAAGACTATGTGAGGAGATAACAACCCATTAACTCAAGCTCAACCAATGTTCTAGTTGAAGAGAGTGCTTCCCACTGAATTGCTTGGACATTCACTTCACTTAATTTCCTTCTTTCTTAAGATGATGACTTTTCTGTTAGGACTTAGGACACAGTAAAGTTTTCAAAATTATCTCAATGCGTTGATTCGTTTGAGCTTACGCTGTTGGGAACTTTGGTTGGTTTTTTCCCTTAATAGTTAACATTTTCTATGTGAATTTGATGCCTTAACTTCAACTAATTTACATCTGGTCATGTTAGCATAGCCACATCTTTTTAGTATTTTGGTTTGCTATAGGCATGTAGTTATTACACAGATGGTAATGCCATTGGTGCATTGCCTTTCCAGAAACATGCACCAATGACATTATCAGGCCTAAATATGTAGTTGTGGTCTTGTTGGTAGACCTCTTCAATAACACCTAATATGGTTCCTATAATTGCAATGAGGACTGAGTGGTTGACACTTCTGATACCTAATATTTGTGTTGGGACATATTAGAGAAACTGGCTAGGTCCTATTTAAAAGAAAAGGCTGGACTTGGTGCCTGCTTGGCTTCGTCTCTTTTGCCGAGATGGTTGAAATTAGTTAACTGGGCCCTAAATGTGATTCACAGTTCAACTGGTCTTCTTCATTCTGCCTGGTACCAGGTCGATATATGCTCAAAAGTTGCTTCCTTGATTTCTAGTTTTAGTTCAATATTGTCTTTCCTTTCCCTCTTTGGATCTTAGAGCCCTAGCTAAATGTGAGATGTTGTGTCCAAGCTGGATCAGATGTGCTCAAGGTGTTAAATATTCATGGTCATACATTTGCATCAATTGTGTCCATGTGTGCGTCTCTGTAAAAAGTACTTTGAACTCTTAACTCGTCAGTGGATATGCTTGTGCAATATGTTTATTCATTGATTCACCTGAATTTATCGTTTGCTTCGATTGTAGAACTGTATTTTTTCCTTGATAGATGAGAGAAGCAATAAGATGGTTATGTTTACTTATTCCCCAAATAAAAACTTTTGCCGATATCCTTTTAAGTGCATTCTCTATATCTTTTGAATGCTAGCACTTTCAAAGATTGGCTTATTGGTAAACCATGCTTGAATGTGGATTTTAACATTTGCATCTCTACTTCTGCTTTTTACTTCAGTTGTATCCAGAAAAATTGTAAGCATTGGGGAAATAATGATTCCTACAAGCTGTGCAATATGTAGGAAAGCGTATGCGGCCTAGCATCTTGTAAACAATTTCATAAAATGTACCTAAATTTTTGTGTTGCGTCTCCCATTGATTGTATCATGACCACAATGAAAGATAATTTTCTTGCACATTGCAGGTAGATTTTAGTGCCTTTCTTAATGGTGGATCTAGTTCTGCTGAGGTGTTGCCCAAATGGTCTCGTCTATCATCTGATAGCCATAGCTTCCGATGCCACTCAAGAAAGCCTCTTGGGATCCTTGGAGACTATAAAGTAGCAGCAAGTTCCATCAGCCAGGAATTTGATAATTTACTCCTCAATGCTATCAGCATGAGCTTTTTTGAGCGCCTAAGCTTGGCTTGGAAGATAATGTTTCCACCATCCCCTTCGGCAAGTAATTCTGCTGCTAATATTGCTAAGCAACGCCTGAGGATGATTCTCTTCTCTGATAGGTGTGCTGTCAGTGATGAGGCCAAACAGAAGATTGTAAGCAACGTTGTTAGTGCTCTCTCTGATTTTGTGGAAATAGAATCGCAGGAGAAAGTACAGCTGAGCGTCTCAACGGATCCAGACCTAGGGACAATCTACTCAGTCACAGTGCCAGTCAGACGGGTGAGATCAGAATACCAGGTAGATGATCCAACCGGAACAATAACTAATGTTGAGTACAAAGACACTGGAGATAGTTCTGGTTCAGTTGATGTCAAGTTCGACTTTTACATTCCAGACGAGAATTTCAATGATTATGGTATGTGAAACCTTGACATGCCTTCGCCAAACTGGAAAAGAGGGTTGATCTGTCTTGTTTGTCTGGCATTTGATAATTTTTTTTCAACTTTTTAAACATACTAGTAGGTGGTCCTCCAAATATACTGTGACAATCAACTTTAGAGTGCTGTAAATACCTGAAAATCCCTTTTGGAAGTGTTTGATGAATTTGCTAGTTTTGGTTACAATCCAAGACACTTCATAACAATTCGTTATATGTAACCATTGTTTTAGGCAAGTGTGAATCCTCAATGCATTTTTTTTTGTTTGTAAAAGTGTCTTTCTGTTTGCAAGAAAGATATATTGGAGAAAGTTGATTATCGGGATGAGATAGACAGCGATATTGAGATAGTTAATCCTACCATTTGAGTACAAAATGGTTTTGGGGACTAATTAATACTCAACAAATGCAGGATAAAAGGATACAATAGTTTAATCGAGAACAAACTATAAGGTGATGTTTGGTTCGTTGCATTGCGAGAATTTATCTACACATCAAAGCTAAGCATTATTAATACATTTTTGGTTAGTATTTTTTTTTCCTCATATAGAGAGAACGCTAATGACGCATTACCTATCTTGTATGCTAATTTATGTACACATAAAAATTTAGACTATTTCCAATATTTTTGTTGTAATTTTCTGATTTAGAAAATCAGTACAATAAATAAGAATTGTTGGAACACCTAATAGAAATCGTGTTCTAATTTGGATGAGATTTGAGTGATGAAATGGCATCCACCATAGATGAATAAGATTCTTTTAGTTGGTCGATTGAGTAGGCTAAAAAAATTTAGTAGATTCAATAGAAAGAAGAAAAAAAAACTCATGTAAATTTAACGCACTAAAATTGGAGATAAATATAACTTTTTTCGAAAATACATATAGAAATATATGATATTGATAATTTAGTGACAAATTTAAGAGATTAATATTCAACAAAAAAAATTAGACATGTTTAATAGAAAAAAAAAACGAAATTTTGGCAGTAATTAGGCGGGAAATACTTGAAGGTTTTCTGAAGATCTTTAATGGATTCGAGCTTTCGTCTTCCCTAGCATTTCACTGTGCTTTTCTCTGCCGTCTTCAGAACTCTGTGTTTACTTCAAATCGAAGTGTGGTTCTTCAGAGGGAAATCAGTCTCCGTATAATTTCTCCATTTTTAGGGTTCACAATCAAAAATAGTTTTGTTTTTCATTGTTTGACTTCACAATGAATACTTATTCTCTGAATTTGGCTGACCCAATTCGGGACGCAATTTCAAGGATACGATTTGCTCCACATTCGAACAATCTGCTTATTTCTTCTTGGGATTCTGTAAGTAAATCCCCTTCCTCTGTATAGAAAATTCGCCTCAATTTTATACTAGCTGGGTTTAGTTATGTTATCGAACTCTAGTTCATTTAAATGTAATGCAAAAACTTAATCTGCAGAGTCTACGATTATACGATGTTGATAGCTCTAAGCTTCGAATGGAAGCTCCCGGGGAAGCTGAGCTCCTCGATTGCTGTTTTGAAAATGAGAGGGTGTGCTTTAGTGCTGCTTCTGATGGTTCAGTTAACAGGTTTTTGCTCCTCGATTGTTGTTCTACTTGGGTAGATTCTCTTGTCAAATGTATTTTATCAACTCCCCGGCTACCCTGCACTGAGAGCACGGGTGAGCCCTTTCGTTTTGTATTGCATGAACTAAAGCGGAAAACTTTTCATGTGAGAAAAGAAGAAGGAAAAGATGAAGCTTTATATGCTGAGCTTAGAGCTAGAAATAGTTTTCTCATGTTTCCTGGTGCATTCTCTGGGGAATGCATTGAATTTCTTCTTATTATTTTTTTGGATTGTTGTTCTCCCTAGGTATGATTTGGATTCAGGTATTAAAGTCTCAGTGGGAAATCATGATGATTCAGCAACCTGTGTTGAGTATTCTGCCGAAACATGTAAGATATTGATAACTCTGTAAATTCAATAAGGTGACTTCTTAACTTATTCATTAAATATTGCCTCAGAAAAAGACATTACTCGTATTATTCAGAGCAATAGGTTTTTGTAAATTTCAAAGCTAATGGGTTTTCCATAAGCTAATGGCTCTACTACGCACAAGAATTCTATTAATATGTATTCCTAAAGTAGAGGATCTATTAATTAGTTTCTTAGTTGGACAACTTGATTTATTTGGCTATATGTTCAACATAATGTGCCAAAATGGAGAGGGCCAAAAATTCACTTGCTTACATTTTTAGTGCTCTAAAGGGTATAGATATTGACTCAAGTTTCTCTCCTTAAATATCTTTTTCTTTATTTGTAGGTCAAATAATTACTGCTGGTTGGGATAAAAAGATAATTTTTTGGGATGCTCGTTCAACACAATCTCATGGATGCTTGAGCAGCTTAGTTTCAGAGGTGGAGTCAATGTCACTATCTGGATTAAATTTGATGGTTGCTGCTGGGTCGTCAGTTAGTTTATATGACATACGAAGTTTTAAGACATCGGTTCACACGAAAGGCGTGAAAGTAAAATGTATACGACCAATTTTTAATCCTAAAGGTACTCTTACCCAAATTCTAATATCAACTATGTTGTGCTTCCAAGGTCCCCTCACACCCCTTCACCCCCACTGAACTAAAAAGAACGAAAGAACAAAAGGTTTAAGTGTCTTCTTGAAAGTTGAAGAATAGTTCTATTTAAAGATCTCTATTATGCATGTAAGTACTTCATTGTAAAGTGAATTCCCCTAATCTGTCTAGCAAGCAAGGACAAACAAATCTCAGTTAGGAGTTGTTACAACCTGTTAAGGAAGCAATCAGGTCAATGGGAGACTTCTTGGAAATGGAAGATGTTATGGAAGAAGACTTAGGCTCCTGTTAAAGTAGCATGCTTTGGGTGGGTTGCAACATGGCATGTTTAATACCACATAATCTGCAAAAGAAGGGTTTTGTATTATGTAATAGATGCTACTTGTGTCAAGAAGATCAAGAAACTGTTGAGCACCTGTTTATCCACTGCAGAGTTTCCAAACAATGCTGGGAGTTATTTCTAAGTGTCTGTGGTATTACATAGTGATGCCTCAGAATATGAGAGGTTTATTATAAAGTTGGCAATAACAGGTTACTCACAAGGAGAACAAGAAGATATGGTGGACTATGCCGTTGTGCATTTTCTGGAATATGGCTGGAAAGGACAAGGCCTATTTTAAAGGGCATACATCTCCGATTTCTAGAGTCAAAACTAGCTTTTTGCAGAATATGTTCTTCTGGTGTGGAAGTAGTTCAATAGGCAGTTTGAGCCAGTTAATGGATTTTCTGGATATGTTAGGAAGGGAAGTCTAGTAGTCTGTATTTCTTTCTGAAGCTTTATGTTGTTTTTGTAACCTTTTAGTACCTTCTTGGTACCCTATTAATAGAACTTTTTCTCTTATTAAAAAAGTACTTCACTGCAAATGATGTAGTTAATGACTTACTTGAGGCGAGATTAAGCCTTGAAAGTAGGTATAAAATAGGGTGTTCTCTTCGCCCAACTTAAGTGGCGCTTTGGTTTAGTATGCATGTGTATCTTTCCCTCCTATTGTGCCTTTCTCCATTTAAGCCTATTCTTTATTTGCACTTTGAGCTTAAAGCTCCAATGGATGTCCGCTTCTGTTTTTCTATCTTCTGCTTTTTTGCCTTAGATAACATGACCACAGAAGCGCACCATAAAAAAGAAAAGACTGCAGAGGGGTACAATTATTTTGGTTTTTTAGTCTTCTGCATTATCCATCTTATATTGTCTAGACAACAGGCAAAAATAGTTCTCCATTGCATGTTTCTATCTACTGCTTATATTTTATTGTACCTTCTTTCAATTTCCTTCTGGATAACATCTTTGTGCAGGATTTGTTGTTGGATCAATTGATGGGCGAGTTCTTCTGGAGTACATCTGCAAATCCAGCTCACATGAGGGGTCAGTAAAAGTTTATAGTACTGTTTTTTTGGTTTGATAAGATGAAAGTTTGTAGTATATCAGACTACTCTCCTTTGTGGATCTCTTAATTAATTTTGTTTCTACTTTTGTAGGTACGCATTTAGATGTCACCCAAAGGTTAAAGATGGGAGACGTCATGTTGTAACAGTTAATGACATTGCATTTAACCCATCGTATGTGATTTTCCAGTTTCAGCCTTCTGTTATTGTTATAATAGAAGTTATATTCATAGTAACTTTTCTTTTCCCAGCATTATTGGTTCATTTGTTACTGGTGACAATGATGGCTATGCCACCTTGTGGGATGCTCGAGGAAGGAAACGGATATTTGAGGTACTCTTGTTCGTTTGTCAATCAGATATTGCATAAGTTCCCCCAAAAGTGATAATACAGTTATAAACTAGTAATTGCAGTTTTGATATCACTTGGTTGACGTCATGGTTTTGAAAGAAATCTTGTGCTTCTGAAACCGAATGAACAAATCTCGTCATTTATATGTGTAACATGCCAAAGTAAAACTTGCCAGTTAATCTCTAAATCCACTTTTATCGCACATTCCTCTTTAAACTATTGCTTCTGTTTATTTTCCATTTGAGATTTGCTGTATAGCTATTTGCTTATTTCAACCAATTCATGGATCTCAGTCAATTTGTACGGTGTTTCCCTCTTTAGATGTCAAGATATCCCAACAGTGTCGTCTCTCTATCATATAGCCATGATGGATTACTTTTAGCAGTCGCATCCAGTTATTCATACCAAGAAGCTAACGAAATGTAAGGCAAACTTGTTTAGTCATCTTCTTATTATGTGAAAATTGGGTATGTTCTTCGCTATCCTCCCTTTTATAACCCCTTTAATTTGTTCAACTGCCTTTAACAGAGAAGAGCCAGCTCAGATATTTATACATGAAATAGGGAACTGTGATCTCATGTCGCCTTCTTCAGGAGCTTCAAACAAAAAATGACTGCTAATACACAACTCAGATTATGGTTGTTGCTTGTCTTTCCTTATGTAAGTCATCTTGTTTACGAGATACTGTACTTATCAACCCCTTGTAATATTTGGTCCCTGATCACAAATTCTGCTCCCCCTCATTATTTTCTATTTTAAGCTAGCTCTTAAACAGCAAAATCTGCTGATACCTGTGTACAAGTTGGCTTTTCCTCGCTTACCTTCTGTGATGGCTATTTGATTCTGACTGATATTACAAGCAAAGGACTCAACACAAACTTGGGCGCGCGCGCTGGAGTGTAGAATTTCCACTGATGTAAACATCATGTCCAGTTGATGTATCTGTGTCTAGCATATCGTTTGCTGAGTGGAATGTGTATTTTTGAATTTAGTTTTTGCTCATACCAAAATCTCTTTTGAATTGATTGATTTGAGCCTAGTTTTATTCAAATTGATTTATTTCAGATGGAGCTTTATATGTTTTAGCTCCTAACATGTGTAATGTGAAGTAACCCATATTTTCCTTTCTTCAAGAATCACATGTTATATTCTTTTGCTTGAAATATTTCTTTAATTAAACCCTTTTTCTTTTCCTTGTATTTTTTTCATGCAAAATATTAGTCATGTTAAAGAACAATTAAGCTACCAGTGTTGATTATTCTTTGAAACATGTACGATTGTAGTAACTTAAAAAAATTAATATGGTGACCTCTTAACATATTCTTTAAATATTACCTTGAAGAGAAACACATAAATTCATATATTTTCAGAGCAATGATTGTTTATTTTCTAATGATGTTTGGTATTTGTACTAAGCACACCCAACCCGTTGTAAGTAATTTTGATTAATCACCAATTTTTTTTGACCTGGGAAAAATCCAAGTAAGAAATAAGAAAGATAGTAATACTACAAAAGGTTGTCCCCTAGGGCTTTGATCAAGTGGTAAGAGCGCAACGCGTGATGTGTGGATTAGACACATGTCATAAGTAAGTGAAGAAGGGTAGACAAACGGGCCCATTATCCAAATTTTTTTTATTTGTAATCCGATCTCTCACACTACAAGGGAGAATCTTGAAACGCAAAATGAATGAAATGATAGAAACTAAAAAACTAAGGAAAAATACACAAGTTGCCACCTAAACTTGTCCCAAAAAAATACATAAGTTGTCACCTAAACTTGTCCGGAAAAGCTATTTTTCGGACAAATTTTCTTACAATGTTTATTGTCAAGCATAACAAGTGTTGACCTGAGTTGTAATCTTTGTTTTTCATCTGTTCTTTATTAGTAGGCCCTAATTAAGTTCAAGATTTTACACTAAAATAAGGATTAACTACCCTGTCTAGTGACACTTCAACTGTTGATTCCTACTAACTTTGTCTACTGACACTCCAACTGATTGATTCCTCCTAACTTATCTATTCACATTTGCAACTATATATTGACTCCTCAATATTTGTAGTTCATCAATAGAACACACATCTTTTAGAGTTACTCATCTTTTTCGATTTGCTTCTGCTACATAGTAGAAGATGAGAAATTGGAACTTTCTTGGATTTCTCTGTCTAGCTTTCGTATTGAGAGTTGAATCCTTAAAATTTCATAGGAGTGATCAACACGTTGAAAGAATCTCCGGAAGTGCTGGTGATGTGTTGGAGGATGATCCTACAGGTAGGTTGAAAGTTTTTGTGTATGAGCTTCCAAGCAAGTATAACAAGAAGACTGTGCAGAGGGACTCGCGATGCCTCAGTCACATGTTTGCTGCTGAGATATATATGCATCAGTTTCTGTTATCCAGTCCTGTTAGAACACTTGATCCAGAGGAAGCGGATTGGTTTTACACTCCAGTTTACACGACTTGTGAGTACTTGACACCACATGGTCATCCTTTACCTTTTAACTCACCACGTATGATGAGAAGCGCGATTCAGCTTGTTGCTTCTAGCTGGCCATACTGGAACAGGACACAGGGGGGTGATCATTTCTTCATTGTACCACATGATTTTGGTGCATGTTTCCATTTTCAAGAAGAGAAAGCTATTGGAAGAGGAATTCTTCCGTTGCTCCAGCGTGCTACCTTGGTTCAAACTTTTGGACAACGGAATCATGTTTGTTTGAAGGAAGGATCAATAACTATTCCTCCTTATGCTCCTCCACAGAAAATTCAGTCTCACTTGATCTCTCCTGATACTCCAAGATCCATATTTGTCTATTTCCGTGGCTTGTTTTATGACAAAAGAAATGATCCTAAAGGCGGGTACTATGCAAGAGGTGCTCGAGCAGCAGTGTGGGAAAACTTTAAGGACAATCCACTCTTTGATATTTCTACAGATCATCCAACTACATACTACGAAGATATGCAACGAGCTATCTTTTGCTTGTGCCCTCTCGGATGGGCTCCATGGAGTCCTAGATTGGTTGAAGCTGTTGTATTCGGATGCATCCCCGTTATAATAGCAGATGACATTGTATTGCCATTTGCTGATGCCATTCCATGGGAAGATATTGGATTGTTTGTAGCGGAGAAGGATGTTCCATATTTGGATAACATTCTTACTTCTGTTCCACCACAAGAAATACTGAGGAAGCAGAGATTGCTTGCCAATCCTTCAATGAAGCAGGCTATGTTATTTCTACAACCTGCTCAACCAGGTGATGCTTTCCACCAAATCTTGAATGGACTTGCTCGTAAATTACCCCATCATCACAAGACCATATACGGAGGCAACAACGTCTTAAACTGGACTGCTGGTCCAGTTGGTGATCTAAAACCTTGGTAGGATCAAGCTGAACCTCAAGATTTACTCATTTGTTGACTTCCATGTTTGCTTATAATATTTTTTTATTTGTTCTATGTTAATTTTATACACAGAAGAAAGAGTTTCGTCCATCAAAGGTTCAGTAGACACACACAATTGTTGTATAGTACAGTAGAATATAGGATTTTCACCATAGTAGAATATAGTACAGAGCAGTCCCACACACCCTCTTGACCAGGGAAGAACTAACTAGAAGGAGAACTTTATTGGTGAACTCGACTACTCGAGTCCCATTGTTTTAGATTTCCAAGAGAAACTCCAAAATAAAAGCATCATTGTGGATAAAGCAAATAAAGGACACAAAACTACACATACTTGAGAAACAGTAAGTTGTAACTCCTCCTACTTTTGTTCTTTGTCAATACTCATACCAAGGACAGTTGATTGATTTAAAGACTTTTAGGATAAAAGAACAAAGTCATCTTCAAATATTGGATCACAGTACAGGGATATAAATATATATAAATAGATCTGAAATGTATAATATAACAATACAAAAATTCTGAAATTTCATTCATTAAGCCATAATATAATGAACAGACAGAATGTGTTTTGGAAGAACCAAAACACGAAAAAGATTGAACACAGTAACATAATAGAGAATTGACTCAAAATCTTCTTCTTCTACTTCTTTGTTCCCTAAAACAAACCAAAAAAGAGAACTGTCAACAACTCCATTGCACATTTGCTTTGTGAAAGCTCTAATACTTGGCCTCCATCCTATTCATAAAATAGTTCACATTTGAAAAGGAGATGGCATTTGAGATTTATTTGGTAATTTACTTATTTGTTGGCCTTGTTTTCAAAATCGAGTACTATTATTTAGTATTCATTCTCCCTATTCCGTGAAGTTAATGGCAAATCAACTGCATTATTAACATCTAGTTGAGACTTGGACAGATTCAATAGCAATACAGAAAGTTCAAAAATTAGGAGTGATCTAAAAGAAACTACAGCATAAAAAAGAAAAGAAGAAGAAAGGGTACATACATACCTGATAACCAAATCGAGCTTGAAACCACAATTTTGCATTTCTTCAACTTGTATTTCCCGGATATCCTTTGCTGATTCAACAAGTGATTCTTTGCATGATATCACCTCAATAGATTTTAGAGTCGGCATGTACTGAAAGCCAGAAGGGATCTCCTCCAGATCTCGCAATCTTCTTAACACCAATTGCTCAAGGCATGGAAAAGCATCATCTGAGACTTTCCTTTCTGAAAGATTAGGAACTAGAAGTTTCAAGAATTTGAGGTGAGGGAACTGCTCATTGGTCACTTCCCATACTTCGGAATAAAAGGTAACTTGTAGCAGTTTGAGTACCACAAGCTCGGGGAGGGTTGTGACTTGATCAAGACTATATACACGCACAGTTGAATAGTGTTAATTTCTTGAGACATGGTGGCAAGTTCATCTCAGCCAAGGTCCAGCAAGGACCCCCAGAAAATTTGAGCATTTCAAGCTTAGTAAGATTGTTAAATGCAGGAAAGAAACTATCACATTTTGAAACTTCACATCTCAGTTTTTGAAGATTTGGTGTCCTTGCCAAGATGTTATTCGCGTCCTCCTCACAAGAAAACCATACTGAGGCAAGAGTTCTCAACTCTTTCATTTTTGGGAGACTCTCTTCATGAACATTGGGTATAGTGAAAATAGCACGATTATATATATGTAGATGGCGCAGCTTGACCATATTCCAAAGTGTGTCTGGTAATGATACTCGTCCTCCAATTCCTTTAACTATCAAAGTTTCAAGGTTCCAAAGATTGGATGAGAATGATAATGAAGAATCTTCAGCAATGCTAACAGCAACATATCTCAAGCAGGTTAATGCTTCTGGGAAAGAATCAATTACAGTGAATTCCAAATCTAACACCCTCAGAAACTTGAAGCTATTAAAAGTGTATGATGCATGGTGTATTGATGATGATGCAATTTGTCTTCCCTTTATCAAGTGGAAAGATTGTACATTTGAACAAATCGAACTCCATTCTGCAAGATTATCACCTTGAAAGTTAAGGCATGAATGCTATGCTTCTGATAGGAAATAGAAGAAGGATTCATACTATCATTGTCCCTGTTAATACATAAATTAGTACGATCAGAATACGTTTAAAAGATAAAATTGATTCTACGAAGAGGAATACTAGATTGTATTACCCTTTTATGCATTGTAGAAAGTTCTCCAGCTTGGCTTTCTTTTTACAAAATCAAGCAACAAGTCATGAATGCGACATGTCTTGGTCTTACCATCACAAATCTTCTTGGAAACCATTACAAGGTTTCTTCCAATAAGGTTTTTTAAGTGATCTTCCGCTACATCCTCGGAAAGTTTCTCTTTATGAGATTTTACCAGACCTTCTGCTATCCGCAACCATGTTAACTTTGAAACTTGTATCTCTTCATCCTCCAAAATACAAAAAACAAGGTTTCAAATGAAATGGTAAAACTTGGTAACTAAGATTTATTATCTCTTGTGACTTATCCCAGATGTCTGAAACTAAATTTATTGCAACTTGTTCCCAACAATGTTTTTCCTTCTCCATTATTGTTTTGAGAATGCCTGCTACCAGGACAACTGAAAGAGGTAGCCCTCCACACCTTTTTGCTATCTTTTGGCCAACATCTTCTAAGACAAGGGGGCAACTCTTTGTATTGAACACCTTATTCTTCAATAACATCCAGCTTTCTTCTTGAGTAAACAATCGAAGACAATGAGGATCACTGACGAGTTTGGCATGGGAGGCAACATCACCAAGCCAAGTTGTCAGAATAATTCTACTTCCCTTCCTAGCATCATAAAAGCAAGGCTCTAGATCATCCCATGCACTAGTTTCCCAGACATCATCAACAAGGATAAGGTACCTCTGAACCATTAGAAGTTTCTGCAACTTATCTGCTAATTCATCCTCTGGTAGCTTATCACTTATAACTGTATCCCTCTTAACACCACGTAGAATGGTTAGTAACAAGTCCTTGCGTGCATATACTTGAGACACACAACATTGTGCACGGACATCAAAATGAGAGGCAACATGATAAAGTTTACTAGCCAGAGTTGTCTTACCCAATCCGGCCATGCCCACGATTGAGATAACATCCAAGTCTGGTGATCCTCTGATTAGCTGCCGCCTTAGCTTGTTCACCACCTCATCAAAACCCACCATTTCTTCGCTTGTGCTTGTAATCCTATCAAATTGTGAAGTATGAGCACTGGTAACGTTAGTGGTATTATGCAATACCAAGTCAGGGACTTTCTTTTCATGAATCGCCGCTACCTCCCTCATGAGTTGTGTAATCTCCTCAATGATGTCCCCGGTCCAGAGAAAAAGGCACCACTCAGGAATGTCTTTGTTTATACAGGAATCAACTATATGTTCCACCTCATATGCTTTAGCAATCACCTGCATCGCAAAAGATCCAAATCCATCATGTTGCTTCTGAAAGTGCTCCAGTTGCTGCTGAATTGTCCAAAGTTGGCTCCTTATAGAAGAAAGTGAGTGTGCATAGAGGCATAGCAACTTCTTCAGGTGGTCTAAAATGATATCAACAGATCCCAGTCCATCAATCTTAGGTAAATTTGAATGAAATGACTTCTGTATGATGCGGTAGATCACTGCTCGTATACTCTGAATATTGCCTGAGAAATCAAGAACTGTCACTTGGTTTAACTCCCCCACTGACATGTCTTCCTTTTCCTCCACGCTTTCATACAATGAGTAAACTAGAAGCCCGATATCAATAATTGTGGTGTCTAAATCTTCAAGGACCTCTCTTGGTAGATTAATGAGATTGTCTCGCAAGAAGATGAGCGTTTTCATTATAACATACACTTTGCTTGGCGGTATGCATTTCCATTTTGGTTACAATTTGTTGGATGCAGAACAAGGTGTTTTAACTTGTAGTATTCTCATATTATACAGCTGTATTCTTCTTTGTTGAACCATAACTAATACAGTACTAGAGTTATCATACTGTTAAAATTCATCACATGAAAGATAAAATGGATTTGTCCATCTTAACCAACGGTCAAGTAAATTGCAGCAAACATAATACTATAGTTATGAACATGTATGAAATGATCAAAGACATTTAACATCGAATGATGAAAATGAGATTTACACAGATGCAAGAACAATAAAGGAAGTTAGGAACTTAGTATTAGGCCTCATTTGTTTTCATTAAGATTAAGACGTCTGAATTTAATATATAGTGTAAATGACCTTATAGTAATTTGTTATCTTTTCTGTTGTTTATTTAAAGGATCTCTTATAAATGGATTTAGTTTTATTAGTGAATCATCGAGGCTGAAAGAACTCAATATCTATATATATCATACACACAATCTCAATCCATAGAAGTAATTAAACAAAGCACCTAAAATCAGTTGCAGAATACCATAAGTGATAACACCAGTAAATCAACTAATACATAATACATCTTCTGTTAAGTTGTTATGCTAAACTTCCGCTAATGAAATGTGTGAGATAGCTGTTATGCTAAACTTCCGCGCTATGTTGTCTAATAGTTATTTTATTTGTTGGATTTGGTGTGTTGTTGGTCTCCCTTCCTTCTTTTAATGCATCTGAAATGTTCAATTGTCTTTAACAGAAAAGAGTCACCTCAGATGCAAGTTATCTGGTTTATTATATGTGCAAGTTATTGATACCTTAATACTGCAGTAGTTTTTTAGCTGTAGATGTTCACAAGTTGGCTCACGAATTGTATATATGGTATAGAATATAGTATTTTCCCCTGCTAAAATTGACCTTCAATGATTTTATTGTTGCCTAACAGTAAACTCCAAATAAAAGCACCATTGTGGATAACTCATAGACATAAAACTGTCTATATATTAACTGATAAAAAAGATTAAACACAAAAGTCTTAAGACAAGACATTGCTTCCATAGAGAATTGAATCAAAACTTTTTTACTTATACGCAAAGATATAAAATCTTCAAAATTGAAATATAATGTTTTGACATGT